GCATATGAGATCAATGTTTAATAAAAAGAGAAGAAATAAATATATGTAATAGAAAGAGTATCGAAACACGAGGCTATGTGATTTGTAAGAGGGGGCTTAGTCCAGAAAGTATAAATAAGATTGCTGAGTGTTTTGATATTCTTTCTCTTTTGTATCATAGGCAAAAATAAATACACGTTCCCTGTTGTCACAAAATGAAACCCCAGAAACAGTAACCAATGAACGAGCATCTAAATATGACTTGTCCATCGTTATTTCTTCTCTGGTGTCACAATCAGTCAACCCCAGAAAAAATGATCAAATCAATCGGCATTCTCTGGAGTGCGGGTACATTGTACTCCAGTCAGTTAATGCACTGTGCATGTATATGTATGCGAGTCAACTCTGGCACATTTTTAGCATAAAGGTTCCCAAACTAAGATACAACAAATGATACAATACCATTGTGTAACAATTAAAAATGAAATAAAGGTATGTGTCTAACGGATTTCATTGACTAAATGATATCATTAACAACTCGTTACGCCTTTGTTTTACTGCCACCTGTTAGCACTTTTATAGGAAAACGGTAAATAGATGAGTAATAAAACCTTACATCTACAGTGTTGTAAACAGAGAGGTAATAAAATGTTGTTTTTGTATGCCGAGACACCATTCTGTATATTAGTAATAAGAGTAAGATATTACAATGTCACATTAAGTGTAATATGTACAATTCAGCAATGTTTTTAATTAGTTGAAACTTTCGCCATTTTCTGGTGTTCAGCACGTGTACACTTCCTTGTTCTTTCTCGAATAATTGCTAAAACGAAGGAGCTATAATCTTTTTTTATGATCTAATTACTCTGAAGGTGGCGTATTGTTCTTTGTAAAATGCCTTTTTTATTTTAGACTAAGCATAGTTAAAATTTTATAAGCTGTTTTCTTAAAACATATTTTATTGTGTTTTAAGTTGTTGTTTTTTAATAATGTAAAATTCAAATCTTATCTTTATTTTAATTATTATAAGTAGTACGTTCTAGAAGGTAATATTTTGCAATATTTTAATATTTTAAGCTTGTACAAATATACAGTTTTAAGAAATTGATTAAGTATGCATGCAAAAAGTTCTTAACTACATCACCTGATCGTTTATGTTCAGTCATTATTAATTTTCGTTATTCTGGACATCTCTTTCACTAAAATATTTTAGTAATGTTACGACTTTGATAAAAATTTTGAATCATGATTAGTGCTTTTAATATGAGCCTATTTCTTAACACAAAAAACTTGATGTAACGGCCAAAATATGTTAATAAATTTAGATAATACTATGTGATTAAAGAAAATTCAAATGAGAGCGAAAAGTTGTTTTTACAAACGTTATTAAGTTTCAACTATTTAAGTTTTATTTAAATACATGTTTGTAGATCAGTCTGATGATACAACTTTCAATTCTATAAATTTAAAGATAATAACCAGTTTATTGCACAAAATCAGATGTTTTATAAGCGTCCCGTTTGTTTCTAGCTAATTTAAATTCCGCTTATGCTGTGCATTTTAAAATACACTAACAGAGGTTATAGAGGTACTTTTTATAAGAAATATTTCTTTAGATAAGGCGGAAATGAGGTGCATGTTTTATTATAAAAAGCATCTTATATATCCAGAAACGATATTCGTTATCTTTTACACTTTACATTTACATCCTTTCCTCACATTTCGTTTATTCAAACAGCACACCTTGGTATCACAGATATAATTGCAAAAAAAAAGTTTAGCTTTCCTTTACAACTATGAAATTAAACTGTCAGAATTTAACAGGCACTTAGGCAGAAAACAAGCATCAATAGAAAACAATGCTAGATTTTTATCAGCAATAAATATGAAAGACGAAATAATGCAGTCATTTTTTAAGAATGTTTATCTTAGAGCAGTTGATATCATTTTTGCATTAATTACGGTTTCATTAAATTCTTGAAGAATTAAGTTAATTAATGTTCATAAAGATTATTGATCCCCGTATTAAATGAAATGTCTAAACAATAAATCAAAGTTAAAAAACAACTCCCAGGTTTAAAATTCTTAATTTGAAAGTGATAAAATTAGCATTAACACCACATCTGTAAAATGTGCCTAGTACTACTTTTTTTCCATTTTTATAACAATGAAATGATGATAAGAATAAAAAAGGAAAAAAGACACTAATTACTCACATATGTTAACAAAAATGTCTGACATTTTTATAATTAAATACAAAAAAGTCTATAACTTTAAATGTAAGCGCCGATTTTTTTATAAATATCATAAGCATTTGGCTATGATTTCAAAATTAAGGAATCATATCAAGGAACAACGAGATTATCTTATAACTAAAGATATTCTTACGTTTTTCATGTCACTAATTGGATGCAGTTGATTTAACAAGACAAATGTTAACAAATCGAAGTCTTCCATTCGCAAACAGTGCACCCACACATTTCATGCATTCACTCTGTCGCATTTAGTGTAGTTAAATTAACACTAAGTGTTTGCTTAGCTCAATGTATTTTTAAAACAGTATGACCGTTAAGAATATTACCTGTCAAAGTGCTACATTGTCCTACCAGTTAGAATCAAACAAAAAAAGACAATTTTGGAGTATCCTTCTAACCATAAACAGGAACGTTTTAACATGGTATTGTTCAATAAAGTGAAATCAATCAGGCAAAGTGGTTAGTTGAACATTGAAAATCATTAACGAGCTCATAAGACCAAGACCTTTGACCACCAGGTCAATGAACTGTAACACGTGTAAATGTTTTCAAATTAGTTACCTCGATTTGGACCACCTTTGTCATTCAAGGGAGACACACAGTTCATAAACTATCTTAAGAAAATGCAAGTTTCATAAGCACACAAGTTATAACATTTCAGACATCAATATTTAATCATTGTTTGATGCATGCAATTTTACAAAGGAATTTTACTAAAAACAATAAGCAGAAATATTCCTTAGTGTCCTCCCAATGAGGATTTGAAAGTTGAATAATAACAGTTAAACGCAGGCGTATCGTGAAAAGAATCATTTTCAAACCACACAAGACCTGCAAAGGCGGAAGTATGTAATATAAGTGTATATTGATAAAAGATATGTTATTGCTTGTAAGCTGTTTTCGCAGACATTTTCACACAATTTTAATACATTCTAGACAATGAATATACTTCAATTTCTGAAAGTTTGTATAATAACATGACATCTACATAAAGTATCACGCAAGTTGATTATGATGAATTTCATGGAATTTAAGAAATTATTTGTAGCATGTAATATTTGTTATATAAATTTTAGATTATAATGATAAATAGTGAAAAAGTAGCTGTCAATATACCAAAGTTTATCCTGAACAACCAGCTTCAATGTACATAATAAAAAGATAAAGAGAAAAATTTATGTTACCCTTACAAGACGTCCAATAAAGCATATTTTGAAGATATAATAAAACAAATTTTACTATTGTACGATACTGAAAAAATGACAGACTAAATTGCAATTATAACTTTAAGGTCATGGTAAAATCACAAGCTTGTTATAAATAAAGCGATCTTTCCTATGAATTCAAATACTTACCTTTCTAGATTTCTAATAATAAAAAAACAATTCAACAGCCGGAGACCTAAAGTTGTAATAATTTGAGAACTAATGTGCTAATACTTGCATGAAACATAAAATGTGAATCAAAACACTGCATATAATCATATTTTATAAATTTACAACTTCATTTCCATAACGAGGAAAGCACGCAAATTCATACCGTCACAAATAAACAAGAAAGAGTTAACTCGCCAAACTGTCGTTCTTATCTACCATACTTTATGTGCTCGTATAGAAATGTCAGACCAATTGCTTCCAGTTAAAGATATTTGTGAAAAAAATAATAATTAAGCAAATTTTCACATTCACATCAGTCTCTGACGAATATTATTATATCATTATCCCACATAATTTTAATACAGTCAAACGTTTGCAATGTATATAATCAATCCTTTTTCTTGAATATGAAAATGTTTAATCTGTATTGTATATGTATATATGTAAATGTATCTATCCAGGAAAGAAATATGTTTAAACTTATGCGTATAAATCGTTTATTTCCATAATAAAGCATAAGACAATATTAACAGTTTCATTTGCTTAAATAAATAATGCATATTGTATATACCCGAACAGAAGCGGAGTACAGATTACTGCCATTTGCAAACAAAATAATTTCAACTTTGATATTCTTAAAGAAAGTCCCGAATTTTTTATTACCGTAACATCATTTGTAGAGAAGATATAAAACAAAATATACCTTTTAAAAGTTGTCCTAAAGACATTCAAATCTCCAATGTGCATTAAAAATCTTACTTTACATGGCTATTATGCGAAAGCGCATATCCATCAATATTTTACCGTTTTCATTGAATTTCTAAACTGATTTGTCAGATTCACTGCACGTTATTTTGAGTTATAAACAAAACAAAAACTATAGCAATATGATTAATACTTAAATACTTGATAATATAATATAATTGATTAAAGTTGTTTTTGTTTTTAATAACATATAATTATATCATTGTAACATTTTGATACTACAATAAATATGTATGCATGTTGCAAAGCATTAAATGTAATAAATAGTTTTACGTGAATTCACAACTATTACGCAAAATCATTCATGAAAACAATTTCATTAGAAAAAAAGACAAATGTATTCACTTTTGTTATCCATTAGTTTCAAAGATAAAATTTTACATACATCTTTGCTCTAAATACAACTAAACTTTTAAATAAAAAAAAAAGTTTTATTAAAAACGTACTGTTTCATATCTGTGCGGTATTAACAATACAATGATGCGGTAATTAATTGTTTATATAAAATAAATCATAAAACACACAAATTTACATGTCATTGAATAAAACTGGCATATAAAGTAAATCATTTCTCCTTTAGTCATTCCCAAAATGTGAAAAAGGGGACAAAAAATGATGTACTTACTTTCGATATCCATCCAGGTGAACATAAAGCTTAAATTATCACATTATACTATACTCCACTTATAATTAAATCACAAAATTCTTACACATTACTATCTTATTTTCAAAGCACAAATAAGCGGTATTGAAATTCAATAAAGCGATCAGTAATTATCCTGCAACAACTCCCAAAATCTTAACTCAAACGATGTAGTCGATACGTCAAGAAAAAATCTCTTAAAACATGTGAAAATGTATAGGTTCTCTTGTTAACGTAGAGTGAACAGAGGTTTTATTGGAATTTCGAGACACCGTTCTCCTTTTATACCAATAACAATGGCATGTTACATACAGTCTGGTCGTAAATAACAGTACGTACCTTATCATTCACTGAGAAATAACATTAGTTAATATTATAACTAGTATCTCTTTATTTAAAGGGCTTTCGGCATGGAAGGGAAGAAAATATTATTCTTAATTTGATGAAGACCTAGACCATTAACTTTATATGTGCTAAATTCCAGATCATTTGCTCACTCCGTTTAAAATTACCAAAATTGAAAGTACTGCAACACTTTTAACACATATGGGGCTAAAATCGCACAAAAAATAATTTAATTATTAAAACCATATATCCTTATTAACTTTTGCATTTTTTTTTCAAGTAGTTTTAAATTTTGTGTGTTTAGGCTTTAATGGAGCTCCTCTAACTTTTAATTCACGATTTAGTTAATATTATAGAAATAATCAAATACTAGATATGAAAAAAAAATTCAATTTTCCGGTGAATTTTGATAAAACTTGTGATACATATATTATATCCAAACTATTACACATAGATTTTATCTTACACGTGAAATACATGTTAAGTTCCCGGATTAATATGTGCATTTATCAATATAACGTTGATAAATACAAAAATGCCCACATGCAAAATTGCTATTAAAACAGTTTGACATATTTATATTATTATAATGTTATGCGTTGTTAAAACCAATGACAGTAATCATACAGCTCTCCTTTTCTTTTGATTTGAAAAAAAATGTTGTCTCATAATCGAAAGATATTTCAATATTAAATGTCACACTGGAGAAATAATGTGATAAATCTTCGTAATGAGGCAAAATAAAATAAGAAAAAATGTTTTTCAGTTTTTGTAAAAGTAATTCTTTTTAATCTAATGATTTTCATGAACAGTTTTCACACGAGTTGTTGATAAGTAAAAATACATGAAAAATTTATTTCACATGCAATTATTTATTCGGTTTCTTATTAAAATACCTATTGTTGCTCAAATTAATTACTATGTACAAACCAAATATTTTTTGTTCACTGTCATCATCGTAATACAGTTGTAATTATTTAACACAATGTATTATTATTGTAAACACATTTTCTATGTTCTAAAACTTGTATTTGTGTTTTGTAGGCCGAACAAGTAGTGTTTCAGCAAAATACATATCTTGGATAGGTATGAACATATCAATGTTAAAAGTATACATCTATTTGTACGCCGAAATTAATAAGACATTAGTATAAAAATATTTATTTTTCAATAAATTCGTACGAATCTAAAGTTCGTTACCTCTTATATTTAATCTATTGAACGATTTGAATAAAATCATATAATGCCAGCCTCGGTGTTTAACCCGGCAATTATTTAGGCAACGCCTCACATAGAAAAACTCGCCCTCATGTTAAACAGGCAAATTGTGAATGTGGATCTTTATTATTATATTTCTTACAAATAATGTTATAATAAAAATAAGAATAAAGTGTATAATTGCGTTTTTGTTAATATTGTAATGTTAATAAATTAAGAAATTCATAAGAGACTTAAGACAATGATGTAACTAGAGGCCTCAGGCAAAAATGTAAGTTTTCAGCTTACGTGTTAATGATTTAGATACACTGGCATTTTATACAATCTATAAGTTATACTAACATTTAGATATGCTCAAATGTTTTTCATGTAATTGAATTTTTGTAAAATTTCACACAGCCTTGTATTCCCCCATTATTGATAATAGAAAATATGACAAAGCATGCCTGTTTCATCTGCTATTTCCTTTTTGCATATTTTACCCAACATTTTACAAACACAAATAGCGCATATTAAAAATGATTTATATCCTTCTCCGTTATCATATGTTTTTTATCTTGACCGAAGAGATATATTCTTTGGCTTAATCATTTCCAGCATTCGTAAATATTCATGGCAAACATTTACCTAGAAAGACCCTGACGTCATGTAGTTTGATTTTGATTTATACGGCCGAGCTTTCCGGTAATTAACTGCAAGTAGATTAACACATGCTTATCAATTACCATAATCTTAGACTAAATTTGTCCTAGAATAGTTTGAATCATTGCCCGGTACTTAGGAACAATCATCGTTCCTAGGGGTTGTTTTCTGACTTTTTTCCTTTCACCTGTGTAATAGGTTACAAGCTATGTTGTTATTGAATATCACTTGTTACAATTGATTTATTGACAAAGATCTTTAAGAAATAAACTATTGAACTATTTTTTCTAGCCTTGTTTATAATTGTTTTTTTAATGAACTGGTATTAGATGTATAACTGGCAATGTTTCAAATCATTAAAAACTTAAAGCAATTAAAATCTTTTAAATTATCGATGTTTACTCTCTTGTTTGGAAAATATTGACGATTTTAGGTTATAAATAAAAGTTTTTTCTTTTACCAGTTACAAAGAACATTAGCACTAAATTTGTATTTTTAATTAAAACAGTTATACGTCTCCAACTTTATCTTATTTTAGAAATGGTATGAAATTAAAAGAAACAAAACCAAAGCCAATTTTAATTGTTTTTTTTCTGTTTGCTTGTTTATTTATTGACACAAGCATATGTCAGATTTGATAAAACATTTTAGTTTAGATTCCCGCCGTACACCTAACCTTTTTTCTGCAAACATTGCTTTATAGACTAACATGTGAATTAATATGCTCAAATAGTACTGATTCATTTTCAAACGTTATGCATCTATAAAAAAGAAAGACAGCTCCTTCGAGCGCAATGGAAACGAAAATAAAATGGTTGAAAAAGAGAGCCGAGTTTTTTTCCTCAATCATCATACATGGTGTAATACCCTTCAGCACCGCTATTAAAAAAACTATAATTATGATTAGAATCAATGATCCCCAAATGAGCAGATTTAAAATTACTGAGATGAAATACAGGTCAACTTTTTACATTGTACAGCTGCCAACTAGCACTTGACAACTGCTGTCTTGAGTGTAAAACATTCTGTTAAATAATTAAGCTATCTTTTGATGCCACCGGCGACGACAGCATTACACTAATGAACATGAAACATATCATGTTACTGTTACAGTTAGATTAAAAGATTGTTATGTTGCTATTCTTATGTATTTCGATTGATGATATCGAGGTACCTTAATTAAAAACTAGGTTTCTAGATTCAGATGTTTATTTTCAATGAAATGTAACAAATATAGAAACAAAATACATACGAAGTGGAGGAAGGAACATAAAATATTTGTTTTCGAAATTTGTCATTGACATTATTTCAAAAAGCGTTTGGGTCTGTCTGATCTGTGAGTATTGATCTCTTTTAAAATTGTTCACAAGTAGATGCCTTTATATGTATGATACTTAAGCGCTATATAGATGGATTTTCCGATGTTTTAACTTTCAATTTCAGAAACAACTGAATACAGCTTTTAAACTAGATACACAAAACAATGTATCGAACATGATTAAATCAATGATTTCAGATTTGCGGGCCATATAATATAAGCCAACAATCTTTAAACACAACTGGTAAATTGTCTTTTTTCATGAATCATTTGAACTGAACAGTTGTGCAACTAAAATAATTTTGGAAGGATAATTACCTGACTAATGTTAAAAATACCTATCTATATGAACAGACTAAATAAAGTACCCTTCATAAATTGTTGCGTGATATAAAAAACTTAACAGACAGGAATACTTATTTTCCTTTGGTATGAAGTAAAGCCACTCGAGACAAAACCACATTAGATGTTGTTGTGCTACTTATAAAGATGTTTAGATGCTTATACAACCAGTGCTTTATATTAATAATTATCATGATTTAGATTTTCATACGTAAACCACTAATTAATTACTGTAGAAAAATTAAATAAAATCACTTGTATCCAATGTGTATCAACAAATTACGTTGTGAATTCGAAATCTAGACGATCGGTGTAAACATTTTTAGAACTGAACTTTATCTTTTTCTTGTTTATATTTCTTACAACATAGCCTATTGAGAACAAATAGTTATTATTCTTAAAGTTTGATATACTTCTTTAAATTGATGTAATTATTTTTATATAACTTCTGTAGAGCACTGCAAGGTGATGCAGATAATCAACTTGAAAGCTCTAGGCATTGTTGTTATTGAGCAGAGGTCTTTTTTTATACAAGTCTATATAAATAAAGTGATTCCCCGGGAGGGGCCAATTTTGACCCTTGGGGTATGATTATAAAAGATGTAGAGGTCAACTTGGCAATTATCTAAGCACTGGGAATCATATTTATATAACAATTGTAGAGCACCACGAGGTGATACTATGAGCCTCATATCTAAGCTTTTGGCATTATAGTTTATTGGCAGCGATTTTTAAAGACTTCATTTTTGAAACATTTTTATTACCTTTTAAGAACCATCTAAGAATTATGTTTGAAGTTTTGTGAAAAGGTCTAATGCTTTAGGAGATTGTTGTTTAAAGAAACTGTGGATGACGGCAGACGAGAGGTTAAATCTGAGAACTTTGTGCTCAATAGACCAAACAGGGATTGTACATGCTAAATGTTTGTAAATTATGATATATATTTATTCATTCATGGACAAAATCGGTTGAAAACGGGACTAAAATTTTGAAAAAAAAAATAAAAAATTAAATAACCAGGATCAATTGTGTGACTTACTTGGGGCTGCAATATACAATTATTAGAAATAGAAACAGTTCTGTAAATATAGAAAGAACATCTCACCTCTAGAAATTAGCGTATAGATGTCCGGCGACATTAAACAGGAAGTTTGTTTTACTGACGAAATCATATTTTAATATAAATGTTAACACATGTACATTATATCAAAATCGTGCATTAAATTCTCGTCGTCCGTTTCTTAGACATATTTTGCTTAATTGCCAAACAGAAATTCGGATTAGCTTAACGTATGTTGAACCAATTCATAGAAAGTCGAAAATTCTCGAAAATAATATTTTCTGAAAATATATTTCGCATATTTGTCATTAAGC